CTGCCTGCCTGCCTGCCTGCCTGCCTGCATGTCTGCTGTCAGGCACTAAAGAATTTAGGTCAGTGTCAGTTCAAATACCAGTCACACAGACAAAAACAAATGCTACAGAGAAAATGCAACAACACCAGAAGACCCTGCTGGCTTCCCCCTGCTCTGACTTTCCTCACTTTCCCACATTAGGTTCTTGTAATTACACCGTTTGTTTGTACTGCTGCCCTTTGCAGGGTTACAATGAGGGCCACATATAACAATCACTGTCCAATCAAAGCACATATGAAACAGGAGGAAGAGGGAGTGCTCTTTCTGCCCCTTCAGCACCTCTCCACTAAGATGTGTGTCTCTCTAATTTGCTTGCAAATGCAATTGTCTGTTTTCTGCCAGCCAGGACCACGGACCTGGTGGGTTCGTGGCCCTCAAGGTGCAGCCAACACTTTCTGAGAAAACATTAAATGCTTGTGACAGCCTGTTATCAAACCAGCAGCCGAGAGGATGCCAAGGAAAAGGAGTGGAGGAAAGGAGAAGGGGGAGGAGGAGGGTCAGATAAGGAGAAATAACAGGGAAGGGACGATTTCCTCATGTTTTGCCTGAGCAGCTGTGAAAGTGGACAAGAATATGTCAGGATTAGGGAAGCGAGAAAGGGAATAAAGTGAAAACTGGGAACTTGAGTTGGTTGTGAAACAGCAAAGAGGATGGAAGTGGTAAAACAGACAGTTCAAAAGTAAGTGGTTCACAACATTATAACCGATCCAGACCTTACATAACTGTTACGTTATAGGTTTTGCAATTTCTGCTGCCTTTTTGGCCAGACCTCTCTTGAAAACAACATTTTTAATGTCGGTGAAACATTTACATTCATAAATAAATGATCTAAAAAAGTCGCTTTGCCCAAAACTGCTTGTAGCTGTCACCTTGTGACAGAAATGTTCTTTCTGGCTCAGACTGGCTTGATACCAAATCACTTCTTGCAAACGATCACTTATTGGCATAGCACTGGTATTGGAAAAAATATCTGCAAATATGATGGTGTATTGTAGCCAGTATTTATCTGGTGTTGCAAGTCAGTTTTGCACTGCCTGAATAGTTCAAAGTTGGGCTGGGTGTAGGGCTATTTCCATTGGACAAAAACGGAAAATAAAATCCACAAAAACATTCAAGATTGGGAAAGAAAGAAAGAAAAATAAAAGGAATGGACTGCCACTTTCTAGTACCGCAGTTTTTGTTTGTTTTTTTTTGACTGTCTTGCCCGGTCACACTAGGAAAAATTGGTGATTGTTG